ACAGGCCCTAACTAAATGGGAGAGGCTTTTTTTGAGTCCAGATGTATTTGATTCTAAAGCCATGGACCTAGATCACAGCAACCTTGACTTGGGAGAACGGATTTAAGTGAAAAGCATTGAGTTGGTAAAGCTTTTAGCAGGCGTGATGTCTTGTAGATTTGAAAAAGGGATCAGATTAACCTAGTGGCAAGATTTTTATTTATGTCTAGTGCAGACCCTAAAGACAATCTTCCAGTTAACATAGTATTTTCAGGCTTTTTGGGGATTGGAAGACAGCTTTTCCTGTTGGGCATATTCAGTCTCTTTTTCAACTGGATCCTTCCCATTGACGTTTAAACCTACTGATTTCTCTTTAACTTTTTTTTTTTTTTTTTGCGGTGCGCGGGCCTCTCACTGTTGTGGCCTCTCCCGTTGCGGAGCACAGGCTCCCGACGCGCAGGCTCAGCGGCCAAGGCTCATGGGCGTAGCCGCTCCGCGGCATGTGGGATCTTCCCGGACCGGGGCACGAACCCGTGTCCCCTGCATCGGCAGGCGGACTCTCAACCACTGCGCCACCAGGGAAGCCCCTTCTCTTTCATCTTTAAACAAAAGCTCCACACTTCTTATCACCACCCTCCACTGCAAGACTTCTTAAAAGGAGGGGTCCCTGCCTCCTCATCTCTCACTTACTCCATAGCCTATTCCTATTTGACATCCACCTCATTATTCCATGGAAATTGCCTGTGCCCTGGTCACTGATGATCTCCACGTTGGTAAATCCAATGGATGGTTTTTCATTACTTACTTTACTTGACCCCTCAGCAGCTTTTGGTATTGTCAGCCATTTCTATCTTCTTGAAACACTTTATTTCTTGACTTACGTGTCATCAAAATCTCCGAGTTTTTCTCCTTCCTTTGGTTGGTACTTCATCAGTTCCCTTTGCAGGCTCACCCTCTTCCACCTAACCATCAGATGTAGAAGTTCCTTATTTCTTAGTCCTAAACCCTCTTTTTCTCTCTATAAATCTTCTTTCTTTGGCAAGTTCATCCAATGCCCAGTGTTTCCTTCCCATTTACCCTTATTATTTTCAGATTTGTATTTGTAATTTAGATTGTTCTGAGTCTTGATTTAATTGTCTTCTAGATCAATGCTTCTCAAACTCCATAGGGAAGGTTTAAAAATTTACAGCACATCACAGATCAGCACTGTTGTAAAATATGATAAAAGTAAATTATTGGAAAAATAAATTAAAAAAGAAATTTTTATTAGATTCAACAGATGTAAAATTACTCTGTCAAATTGCAATAAAAGCTTCTAAATGCATATTCTCATTTTTTGTACTTACTTCATCATTAACAGTATCAGATAGTTTGTGGACCACACTTTCTTTTTTTAATTGAAATATAGTTGACGAACAGTATTAGTTTCAGGTGTAAATCATAGTGATTCACTTTTAAATACATTAGGAAATGATCACCTTGATAAAGTCTAGTAACCAACTGTCTGTCATCATCCAAAGTTATTTCAGTATTGACTATATTCCTTATGCTGTACATTACTTCTCTGTGACTTATTTACTTTATAACTGGAAGTTTGTACCTCTTAATTGCCTTCCCCTGTTTGCCTAGCCCCCCCCACCCTCCTCCCATCTAGCAAATATTCCTTCGTTCTTTGTATCTATGAGTCTGTTTCTGTTTGTTTTGTTTTTTAGATTCCACATATAAGTGAAATCATCTAATACTGATCTTTCTCTGACTTATTTCACTTGGCATAATACCCTCTAGATCCATCCGTGTTGTTGCAAATGGGAAGATTTCATTCTTTTTTATGGCTGAGTAATATTTCATTGTAATATGTATAAAAGTTATTTATGTATTTTGGGTATTAACCCCTTATTGGATGTATTATTTGCAGATATCTTCTCTCATTCAGTAGGCTGTCTTTTTGTTTTGTTGATGGTTTCCTTCATTGTGCAAAAGCTTTTTAGTTTGATGTAGTCTCATTTATTTTTGTTTTTGTTGCCCTTGCCTCAGGAGACAGATCCAAAAAATACTGCTAAGACCAACTTCAAAGAGTTTACTGTATATATTTTTTCTAGGAGTTTTATGGTTTCAGGTCTTATATTTAAAGTCTTTAGTCCATTTTGAGTTTATTTTGTACATGGTGTAAGAAAGTGATCCAGTTTGATTCTTTTGCATGTAGCTGTCCAGTTTTCCCAACACCATTTATTGAAGAGGCTCTCTTTTGCCCATTATATATTCTTACGTCTTTTGTCATCGATTAATTTCCCCTATAGGTGTGGTTCATTTCTGAGCTCTCTATTCTCTTCCATTGATCTATGTGTCTGTTTTTGTGCCAGTACCATACTGTTCTAATTACTACATCTTTGCAGTATAGTTTGAAGTCAGGGAGCATGCTACCTCCATCTTTGTTCTTTCTCAAGATTGCTGTGGCTATTCCAGTTCCATACAGATTTTAAGATCATTAGTTCTAGTTCTGTGGGAAATGCCATTAGTATTTTGATAGGGATTGCATTGAATCTGTAGATTGCTTTAGGTGGTAGTATAGACATTTGAACAATATTGATTCTTCCAGTCTGTGAGCACAGTATATCTTTCCATTTATTTGTGTCTTCAGTTTCTTTCATCAGAGTCTTATAGTTTTACGAGTACAAGTCTTTCACCCCCTTGGTTAAATTTATTCGAGGCAGTTGTAAATGGGATTGTTTTCTTAATTTGTGGTCCATACTTTGAATATAGCACTGTGCTATACCTCTTCTTTTGGACTTTTCAAAGATACTTCAGGACTGACTTCCTGAAGTCAGATTTCCTCCAACAAAACAAATGAGCTCTGTTCAGTCTTTCTCATTGTAAAATTCAGAAATCTAAGATTCCTTCATGACACCGCTCTCTTACATCTCACATTATCCAGTCCACCACCACGTCCTGTTTACTAAGTATTTCCCATGTTCCACTTCTGCACTCCCTTCCCACTGTTTCAACCTTAATCTCAGACACCATCCTCTCTCACCTGGACTACTACACTAGCTGCTCTCTTCCAATTCCTTTTCCACTCTGCAGACAGAATGATCTTTTAAAATAAAAATCCTGCCACGACCCTGCTTTTCACCACTAACTGGCCTCCAATTACTGTCAGATTAAAGGCCAGGAGCTTGATAAAGCCCACTGCCCTGGGTGGTCTTGACCTTCCTTATGTGGCTCCTTGTTTCCCACCACTCTGCCTGTACTTTTCCCCTCAGATGCACAATGCTGTCTTTTGTCAAGGATGTCTGTACAAGCTCTTCTTTTTGCTGAGAATTGTCTCCCCCCCCCCTTCATTTAGTTAATTTTACTCTTCCTTCAGACCTGAATTTAAATATTCTTGGAGAAGCATTCTCTGATTCTTCCAAATTAGATCTGATCCTGCATTATAGCCTCTCTTAGGACTCTTAGTTTTTCTTTCATTGCATTAATCTTAGTTTAGAATTGTACAGTTATTTAGTGATTGTTTAATAACTTTCATTCTATTAAGTTATAAACTCCATGAGGCCAAGGACTGTGTCTGTTTTTGTTCACCTTATTTCCCCAGTGCCTAGTGTAGTATCCTGCCATATAGTGGGCACATGGTAAATATTTGCTGAATGAACAAATGAAGGGTGGGTGGTTGTTTGAAATTAACTTTACTATCTCAGTTAATCTGGCACATAAGGTGCTCAGTAAGTGTGAAGTTAATTAATAGGAAGTAGGTGTAGAGATATATTTTTAAAGTATTTAAGGAGTGAGGACTGGTGAAAATTGTGCGGGGGATAGCTTACATAGATTTGGATGCTGTAAGCAGAGAATACAATGGAAATGTATTAGGAAATAAAGCCAACAGATGGGAATTTGAACTTGATCTCCATTGCTGATAGGGAGGAAATGGAGGTATTTAGAGAAGTGTGTGATGTTTCAAATCTTGGTGCAGGATAGGATGGAGGGAAGAGAGGAAGAAAACTTAGAATCTTGTCAGGGACTGAGTACCCCCCTCAAGGTAATTATCAAGAGGGAAGGGTAATTCATTGAGGTTTCCTTTATTAGGAAGAAAGAAGTGGCAGAAACTGAACATTATGAGGTTATCAAACAGGACGCTTTGCTCTTATTGCTGGGTAAACTGTGTAAGAGACCTGGTGCTCATAGGAAAGTTGAATTTCTTTTCAGCCTGTCATATTTTTAAAAATGCTTATTTTATGCTCAGTCCTGTTAATCTTAGCCCTGGGAGATGCTTTGTTTTTCTAGATTTGTTCATCTGATGACAGGGAAAATAAATGTGTTGGGAAGTTACTTCGCAGTGGCAGAGAATGATGTAAATCAGACATACCTCATGGTTTTGCTTTTGTTGACTTAGTTCCTTTTTAATTACAAAAGATCTGTTTTTCTGATTATGAAAGAATGCTAATACGAGTCAGAGCTCTGTGATTATGATATATGTGACTGTAAGTTTTATAATAAAGCTTATGTGACAGGCATCGTGTTACATGGATTTTGTGCTGAAAAGAAAAATATTGTATACTCATCTACTACATTCATTCATTTCATGCATATTTGTTATGCGTCTGCTATATTTGATGCACTCCTAGGCACTGGAGTTACAAAGATGAATATGACCCATTTCCTGTTACAAAACAGTATATTGTTAAAGGAAAGTCAGATTGTAAAATAAATGAATATTGTGATAACTGCTAGTATCTGGCAACATAGGGTGCTGGGAGCATCAGAGGAGGGACAGCTAACCAAATGTGGAGCTTGAGGGAGTGTGTGGGCAGGGGTGGAGATGTTAGCACATCATTTTCAGAGGTTTTGAAACTGGACTGAATTCTGGGCCCCTTCTTTAGCCAAAAGTTGAAAGCTCTAATGGTCATTTGAGTCAGTGTGTGTTCGCCTAAGGAATAAGACTTGTGTTATTGTTATCCATGTGTTCCTGGGAATAGAAAGTAAGAATGTCTGGTTGCTATCCAGTGGGTGAGAAGTGGAAACACAACTTAATCCTCCAGAGCCAGATGATGTGTCATTTCCCCAGTTCAAGCCTTTGAGTACTAGTAGTCAACTCAACTTAGAATCTGTAATATGAAAAGTTCAGAATGCAAGTATGAAAAGCCCTACTGCAAGTATGTTCAGTTAGTAATGAACTTAGAGATTTTTTTTTTTAAATAATGAAAACCAATACCTACCCCATAAAACATCCTTTTTTAGTTAGCAGTCATATTGTCAGTGGACCCTCACAAAGGTTTGGTTTTAAGTCTGATTGCTAAAATAAGGAGGGTTGGGACAGTAGTTTCTCCAGGGTTCAGTAAGTGCATTCGTATTGTCATGTGGATAAAGGATTTTTATTTACTCCAAAAGAAAGCATGCTTTAACTTCAGTTACAAATAGTGCAAAAATAATTTTCTTTTTCTTCTTGGTAGATGACAAAGTTCCTAAAGCATTCCAGAATTCCCTTGTTCAACTTGGACTCAACACCATGAAGTCTGCAAACATATGTATTGGTCGACCAGTGTTGCTTACCAGTTTGGATGGAAAGCAAGAGGTGAGAGTCCTTTTCATTTCCTTACTTTAGAAATATTTCAGATGTTTTTGATTTTAATTTTCAACACAAGCAGTAATAAATGAAAAGCTATATCTTACAAGACTCTCACATCTATGTAAACTTTTCCTTCCTTTGATACCCTGTGAGTTGTAGGCCCTAAGTGTCATGATGTAGAAAGAAGCCTTTCCTCCAGAGGTAGTGACACACTACCAGCCCTATTTCTCCCAGTCTGTTAGTTGTATTTCTTCACAGAAATGTTACTTTGGGTCATCTGTTTTGTACGTAAATATTTGATTACCCTCCGTTTGTCCTGGCTACCATTCATCACACCTGAGACTCTAAGTCCAGAACCTTTCCTGGGTCATTTTTGGCAGCTTAGCTTTCTTCCTCTGACTCTGCCATGTCTTCTGCTGCTGCTTCATCAGTCAATGTTCTCTCATCCAGTGGGGTCCTCTGGAAATGTTTTGCAGTCTTATATCTGCTGATGGCTTGCCTCCCATTCCTTTCATTGTTCTGGACTTATACTGTAAAAAATCCTTCACTGTGTTTTGTGGAAGAGAAGACTATAAATGTGTGAGCTCAGCCTATTATCCAGAGCTAGAAATCTTTGAGTTTCTCCCTTACCATTTAAGTCGGTTGAGAACCAGGTTCCCATGGAGCTCTTGTACTGGGTCACTCACTGTTTCCTGGATGTAGTTTATGCTCCAGACTGAACTACCTTACAGTTAGCTTGCCTTCAGTATTTTTTCTCATTTTTCTCTTATCACCTGTTAATGCCTTTCTCTCTTTTCTTAAATCCACCTTTCAGCTCTTCCACCATTTTCACTGTGGCATTATTCCTAATCTTCACAAAAGAGATGTAATATTTATAAAAAAATAGTTTTTTTGTAACTGATGTCAAATCATAACTCCTTTGGGGTACGAACTGTGTTTTGCAGATCCATGTACTTGACTGTGCTTAGTTTTCTTCCTTATAAATGAATGATATTCTACAAATATTTATTTTCTTATATTTTTGTTTCCTATGTTCTGGGCAGGTCTATACGGCCTGGCCTGTGGCAGGATTTCCTGGAGGCAAGGTTGGCCTGAGTGAAATGGCACAGAAGAATGTGGGTGTGAGGGTTGGTGATGCCATCCACGTCCAGCCTGTTTTGGGTGCTGTACTGCAGGCTGAGGAAATGGACGTGGCACTCAGGTTTGGCTCTTTTCTTTGGTGACTCTCTGGATCATTGCTGCCCAAATGAGTCACAAATGTGAACCACACATGTAATTTTTCATTTTCTAGTAGCCACATTTAAAAAGTGAAGAGAAAGAGAAAGTAATTGTAATGGTATGTTTTATTTAACCAGTATATGTAAAGTCTTATTTGAATTTATAATAACTACAAAAAACTATTAACAAGATTTTTCATTCTGTTTTTCAAACTGAGTTTTCAAAATCCAGTGTGTTATGTTACACTTGTAGCATATCTCAATTTAGGCTAGCCACATTTTTAGCACTTGATAGCCACATGTGGTGAGTGGCTAGTGGCTTACTGTGTCAGACAGCACAAGCTAGATGGGTGCTATGTGATTTATGGACTATGGACTCTCTAATGTCCCGTGATTAGAATATGCCCTGAAATTTCAGGTGAGAGGAATTGTTGTTGATGGATATTTAACAGTTTTTTTTTTTTTTGTCTTGGTTTGCTTCTTGTCTTTTTTACAGTCGTAAAGACAGGAATAGATTACTGTGATTTGGCAAGAAACAAGTTTTAATTAAGACTGCTCAAGCGAAGTGTACCTGATTCTGTATTTTAACTCATTGATTATTTGGTCAAATAAAACAATTATATCTATCCAATTTTTAAATAGTCCCCCACCAAAGATGACAAATATGGTTAAAGTATATCACCCATCCTCTTGAATGTTCTGTATCTAATAGGATTTTTACTCAGTTTGCATATACAAGTCTTATCAAAATTTGTTTTGAAAAAAAAATCTTGGGCTTCCCTGGTGGCGCAGTGGTTGAGAGTCCGCCTGCCGCTGCAGGGGACACAGGTTCGTGCCCCGGTCCGGGAAGGTCCCACATGCCGTGGAGCGGCTAGGCCCGTGAGCCATGGCCGCTGAGCCTGCACGTCTGGAGCCTGTGCTCCGCAACGGGAGAGGCCACAACAGTGAGAGGCCCGCGTACCGCAAAAAAAAAAAAATCTTTTAATACTTTAATATCACGTTTGTAAAAACTTGGGGAATTTTATATTATATGCCAGAATCACAAAACATTTTTCAGTCATTAGCTTGATTTTGAAAAGTTTTCTTCACTTTTCTACTTTTGTAGATTCCAAGCTTCAGCTTTGGTGTATTTTTTCTTTTAAAAACAGGAAAATGTCTTCAGTGCATTGAATAACAGTTTAACGAGCAACAAAATAAAAAGCCAGAAAGGAAAAGAGAACATATGTTGAGTGTCAGCTATGTACTAGCACACACACCCACACTTTCCCCTTTTTCTTCTCTCATTTAGTCCTCTAAACATCCAGCAAGGTATCCATATTTATCCCTCTTTAAAGATGAGGAAATGGGCTCAGTGAGGAGAAGTAACTTGCCCATTATTTTATGGTAATTTTTTAGTTAATTCAGGTTCAACAGGATTAATCTTCATACTGTTTTAAAACAGTGCTTTAGGTAGCAGTAATTAGTTGACTGGGTTTTTGATGATTACTAACAAATGTGACCTCTTGAGGGCGCAGCAGTCTTAGGTGATAATGATTACCTACTATACAGGGACCGTATATGTTTTAAAAGGAAACTTGGTTTTTTATTTTAAAGAACCTTATGTTTTAAACATGGCAGCAGAACTTAGACAAGAAACTTAATTTCCAATAAGAAGAATCAGTTATTTTAGTCTGCTGTTTAAATCCTTCAGTTGTATCTGAAAAAGTTTATTATCAATACTAATGTTAGAGCTCCTTCTAGTGGAAATGATTTTATCTGTGTTTTTTAAAAGCAAAACATTGTTTTACATATTTTACATATTTGTACATATTTGCAAATATCTTCTCTTCAAAGTTTAATAAATAAAAGCAGTTTAAGTAGTTTCAGAGTTCTTTAAACAAGTAAATTTAAGTATTTAAGGAAATATGTACAATCTTCTCTTTAGTTTATACACGCATTTGATTCATGAAATTTTCTCCTTGTTTTTCTCTCTCTCTTTTATATGAATACACAGTTGGTTCTCATTATTGGTGGTAGTTGTGTTCCATGACGTTGCCACAAATACTGAATTAGCGAATACTGAACTGTTGCTCCTAGGGAGGGTGTGTGTGTGTGTGTCTATATGTATGTGTGTATTTATTTAACACATAAATATGTGAAAATATATATTTTATGTAGATTATAATCTTAAGTCCTTGAAACAGCTCATTCTGGTAGATTCTATTTTCTTTATTTTTCAAATGAGGAGAAGTGGCTCAGAAATATTAAGTGACTTGCCTGAGGCCACCCCATTAACAGATGCCAAAGTTAGGATGCAAACCCCCTCTGTGTGGTGCCACAGCTGGAACTTTTCACGCCATACTGCACTGCTCCCTACCCTGCCCAGCTTCCATCCTCTGGTCACCTCTGAATGAGAGTTGAAACAATAGGCCTTTTTCAGCCTCAGCTGGGAAAGTATTGGGTTACAGTTTTTGCCTGCTCTGTGCTCATCCACAAATGACTGGCAAAGCTCTGCTAGTATTGATTTTGGGGTTATAAACACATTTTAGCAAGTAGGTGAATTTGCATACGGAATTTTCAAATAATGTAGTTTGGCTGTATTGATTTTGTTACTGATAAAGTGGTTGGGAGCAAGGCTTAGATTTGGACCAGATGCTGCTAATACACCTTTTCCTGAGCTAAACCATTCTCCCTCTGTGATCTCTGGCAGAGCTCTCAACTGTAGGCTTCCTCTGCTGATACGGGCCACTTACACACGGAAGAGGAGGGAAAATGCACATATTCTGAGAACTCTTCAAGAACGTGTTTCTTTACAAGTGTAATGATTTTTAGGCATGTTTCCTGTACTCAAACAAGCAATTTTCCTGGAAGACACAGTTTTTGGTCAGAAGAAGGCTTTTCCATTTTTTTCTTAGGCATACCCTTTCTCTAGCATAAACTTGCACTGTACCATTACTCTGCTTTTTTTCTACCTCTTCAGATAACGTACTCTATAAGATTTAAATTTCCTTAAAGATAATTTATAAATTATACAAAGAGAATAAAGTAAGCTATTAATAAAAGCCTTTCTCCAAGCTGGGCAAGTTCAGAAAGGAAATGATTAATTAAGGCCAGTGTTTTTCCAATGTTTCTGACTATAACACACAATAAAAAACACATACTTTTCATTGTGATTTATTGCTCCTATACATCCACAGATGTAGTACATAAATGTACACACGTGTGTACATGTATATACCCAAGTATATAGGGGTGTGTGTGTGTGGTGTGTAAGATAGTAAAGAAAACTGATTTAGGCCACTGGGACACCAAATTGCAAATGGTGTTTTCATGGATATAAGAAGTATCTAAAAGGTGTAAATCATTCCAAAATTGTATAAATCATTTCCAGATTGTAAACTAATGATTCTTTTGATTAGGTCTACATCACAACTGTGTACATGTCTTTTTTTTTTTTTTTTTTTTTTTTTTTTTTGTGTTATGTGGGCCTCTCACTGTTGTGGCCTCTCCCATTGCAGAGCACAGGCTCCCGACGTGCAGGCTCAGCAGCCATGGCTCACAGGCCTAGCAAGTCTGCGGCATGTGGGATCTTCCCGGACTGGGGCACGAACCCGTGTCCCCTGCATCGGCAGGCGGACTCTCAACCACTGCGCCACCAGGGAAGCCCTGTACATGTCATTTTATATTACATTTTAGTTTCTGGTGTACTTAATGCTGATTTTTATTTCTCCCACCCTTCACAGTGACAAAAATGCAGATATTAATGAAGAACAACTGACTGCTTGTCTTCTGAGAAAACTAGGTGAGATGTCTCTTTCATACGTTTTCTAAATTTTAAAAAGCAAGGCAGCAGCAAATAAACTGATGTGTCTTTGAGGTCTTGTGTAGAGAATATTCTCCTCAACGAATGAACGTCCTTTTAAGATGTAGTATCTGCCGCCACCCCCCACCGCCAAGTAATTGATTGGTAGTTGAGCAGTGGAGAGAATTTTTGACTTAACTGTGAGCAAAGTCAGTCGTAGAACTAAGACTTTTAACCCTTGAACTCTGTTCTTTTTGGTCAGGTATTTTATCTTGGAGTGTTGGTGTAGGTGTGCCATTTTAGCTTGGTTTGTTACTGAACATGGAATGCCTGGCTCTATGGGGTTATAGCTGATAGAATCCTAAATGTACTGAGTGTAGAGAATTTCAGAGAATTAGCTTGACCTTCCGTCTCCAAATAGTGCCCTATCATAGGGGAATATTAGGTTCTCTGTTTTTCATAACAGTTGTTTTATTAATACTTTCATCTTTGATTTAGTCTTTTCAGTCAGATAGTTTTGTTAATAGATGAAATAAATTGCTATTTAAACTTTAAATGGGTGAAAAATTGTGCTAATGTATGTATTTAATAAATCGTTTTCCAGATGGCAAGATTGTTTTACCAGGCAACTTTCTGTATTGTACATTCTATGGACGACCATGCAAGTTGCAAGTGTTGCGAGTGAAAGGAGCAGATGGCGCGATGTTGAGAAGGGCTCAGAATGACTCTGACACTGTTGCCCGGGGAATGGCCTCCAAGCCATCCAGCGTGGAAACTAGTACCCTGGATATATCCTTACAGCTAAGCCAGTTAGGTCTGGAAGTGCCCCCAAACCCAACATCAAGCAGTACTCCTTACAAACCAGGAGATGGCAGAATGATAAATAAAGCTGGTGGCGTTTCATCAGGTGTTACACAGAGTCCTGGGAATGGCAGTGGACTTGGACTAGAGGCAGTCACAGGTCTTAAATGTTGTTCTCAGTCTGCCAGAGAAGGAAATGAGCAACCTGTCAATGAAGAGAGATTGCTAAAGTCACCCAGCGTGGGAGCACAGTGCAACACTGATACCTTTTATTTTATTTCTTTGACAACAAGAGTCAATTTTACAAAGATTTGTACAAATTCAAAAGATCAAGACAACCACTTAAAAGTAACTTATGACATGATTGGTGGCTTAAATAGTCAGCTGAAAGAAATTAGAGAAATAATTGAATTACCTCTCAAACAGCCTGAGCTTTTCAAGAGTTATGGTATGATTTCTTCAGTGTACTACACCCAGAAATGTTAAATTCATACTAAAAGCAGTTGGCTCATTTCACTTATCTAATAATTGTTCACCCTCTTTTCCTGTTTTTCTTTCCTGAGTGGGAGGTGTGGTAGGAGATGCCAGTTAAGTCAGCCTTTTTCTATGCTTGGTCTCTTCAGATTGTAATGGGAGTTAGTTGTAGCCTTGTCTCAACTGCACACTTCCACAGTTGTTTGTATTGGATCTAGAGTAAGTATCTTGTCATGCTAGATTAGCCGTAATGACTAAAAAAATAAATCAAACATTTAAATAGTTTGGATAAAACTTCTTTGTTAGGAAATGTAGCTGGGTGCAGATCTCTTTGCATTGAAACAAGTAGTTAAGGGAGTGACTTGGCTTTTAGAAAACTCAGGGCTTCTTCTGCATTGTTAACTGCCCAGATGCTCTGCATATATTTGGTGCATACCGTGTCTTTCTCTGCTTTTTGCTTTTTCTTTTTTCATGAATATCTATATCTATCTCTCTCTCTATATATAAAATGAATGCTTGGATTCACATATAAAATGAACCCTGGTAAGGCTTATATTCTCTGAGATGGCTAGTTGGATAAAAATTGGGGTTGGTGGCTTATTTTGCATGCCCTTCTTGTTGTTTGGGCTTTGTTTTTTGATCATTGAACTGTGCTGTGTGGGATGGGGCATGTCAATAGTGTGGGTGTTAAACCAGTTTTTTTACTAACCAGCCTGGCCTGGTTGGGTCTACAGAGAGAAAAAGTCATTGCTTGAGATCAGCGTTTGGGCTAGTTAGTACATTTTTCTATGGGGAAAGGGAAGTTCTGACTCTTACTTTAGTTTTTGTGCAAGGTAAATTTATTTTATAACTCGTGTTTGAAGTCATATGACAACACTTACAAGCAACCTTAGTAATGCTGCATCCAGTGTTCTCTGCTTTTTCTTCTAGGAATTCCTCCCCCTAGAGGAGTGTTGCTCTATGGCCCTCCAGGTACTGGAAAGACAATGATTGCCAGGGCTGTTGGTAATGAAGTTGGTGCCTATGTTTCTGTAATTAATGGCCCTGAAATTATTAGCAAGTAAGTGCATAATTTAATAGACTAAACAATATTATTAGATACACATCTTAAATGTGGTTTTTAAAAAATGACTCAATAGTATTCTGTCTGGATATTTCACACATTGAAATTTTTTTTTTTTTTTTTTTTTTTGGGCACACATTGAAATATTTTTAATTTGCTTTTTTAAATGTGTATAAACATTAAGTTTGGAAAATAATTTTTGAAAGTAGTGTTAAGTATTGTGGAAATATTTGAAAAGTCAGGTGAGCTTTTATAGACAGAGCTTTAAAAATGTTAAGAGTTGGTCCTTAAATGTATTTTATTTGTTACAGATTCTATGGGGAGACTGAAGCAAGGTTACGTCATATATTTGCTGAAGCCACTCTGCGGTATTCTTTATTTTTGGATGTTTGGAATTAGTAGTCAAGGGTATATTAATGAAAGTAGAGATAGTAGTACTTTATACGAAGCATGAAAGAATAAAACAAAAATAATAGTGATAGCACTGGAAGTAGATTGTAAGTTTAATGAAGTTCTGTCTAATCTAATTCTATCTAATATTGTTTTGGAAATGTGAGAAATAAGTTATTAAATTACATAATGTAGCAAAACGTACAAACTTCCCATTATAAAATAAATAAATCATGGGGATGTTACTTATAGCACGGTGACTGTAGTTAATAGTACTGTATTGCACATTTGAAAGTTGCAAATAGAGTAGATTTAAACAGTTCTCATTATAAGAAAAAAAATTTTATGACTGTACGGAGACAACGTGAATTAGACTTATTGTGGTAATCATTTCACGATACGTATATACAAATGTTGAATCATTATGTTGTGTAACTGAAAGTAATATTATATGTCAATATCTCAATTTTAAAAATTACATAAGGTAAAAGCATTAAGACAGTGCTGTCCGATAAGTCATGTGAATTTGCTTGAGCATATAAATTTATGATTTTCTTTCTTTTGGGTACATCTAATCTCAATAGACTATTATAGTTGCCCTTTAGGCTTAAAACTTTGTTTTATTACAGTTTGCTTCAAAGTGACAAATCTTTTGCTTTAAAAATGATTCTTACTAATCATTTCTCAGTTTAGGCTACCATTGTTACATTGCAAGGAGTATTAACGAGTTGCCTGTAACTTGGTCTAATGTAGTTTTATTCATAATATGGCTATGTCTCTTTCATTGTTTTGGTATGTAACCTACCATAATTACTGCTCTCTTATCAAAACTTCCATTTTTAAAGTTTTTTTCCCCCAGTAGATAAAATAAGTAGTCTTTACTCCAAATACTGAAGATTTGAGAATCAGTGATATACCTTATTGTTTAGTATGTTTTTGTTGTCACTATTAATTTGTTCCTAGAAGCTGAGACTTCCTCTTATGAGAGAATTCACATCTTTGTATAGGAGAATTGGTCATCTTGAAAGTTGTTTTTTTAGTAGATTTTTTAAAAAGAGCATTTCTACTTTCTATCCCTTGGAACTTTAAACCATCTCCAAGGAATAGTATCACTGGCCTCAGCTTCTGAAGTGATCCAGGCATAGCAATTTAGTGGGCATTAGTGGGCAAGTTCTGTCTGGGCATAGACTGTCATCTCATGAGCAATACATGTTCTCAGTACTCTACTTTTTATTGAGGGCAGATCTACTAGAATGTGATGTTGGTGAGTTAATAATTTAGGCTAGAATTAATCTAAGATTTTTCAGCTTAACATCCTATTGCTTTTGTCTTTAATATTATTAATTAAATCCTAAATTTGATGCATTGCATTTCAGTCAAAAAATTAAAACAATTTCAATTATTTAACTGCAGCGCAACATATCATTTAAAAATTAAATATATATTAGAGAATTCATTTTACTTGTTTATTTTTAGGCACCCATCAATTATTTTTATTGATGAGCTGGATGCACTCTGCCCTAAAAGAGAAGGGGCTCAGAATGAAGTGGAAAAAAGAGTTGTAGCTTCACTCTTAACACTGATGGATGGTATTGGTTCAGTAAGTACAGCACAGTATTGATTTCTGTAGGAGGGGCTATTTTCTTAATAATATGCATGTAGTGGCAAAAACTGTCAAATGTATCTGCATTTTTTGGATACTCTAGGGTAAGGAAGAAATATTAGCTGTAAAAACTAGAGGAAAGACCCATAAAATAATTTTCTTCATGATTTCTTAGTAACAGCTAGGACAGTATAACCTGGCATATTTTTCTAGCATATAAAATTATATACAATGATAGATTTATAATAAATGGTATTAACCTAAAAACCTGAAGCCCAAGTCAGTAAGGAAAATTTAGCAATTAAATTTAAGGGGAATTTACTAAGAAATTTCATGAGTAAGTCTTATTACTCTTGTAAAAATTGATTCTTTGGGGGCTCTAAGTTGGGCAAGTGAAAGGACAGAAAGTGAGAATAATGGGAAATATGTTTCTACAACATTTAAAAAGAATTTACTCATGTTACCAGATTCTTTGATAGTGCATACAGTCTTATATTAATAAAAACTATGTGCTGATTATGAAAGGGAGATCCATAGGACTAATAGGGAAGAGGAATGAAGAAAAATTCTCTCAGACTCCTGTTAGGCATTTATCAGAAGAATACACTTCTTATACAAGATTGTAAATAACTCATATTTTTAGAATCATAATATGTCAGAACCAAAAAAAATTATAGAAATCATGGAGTCCCCAGTCTTTTGCACATTGAGAAACTGGGCAATTCGAACTTTTTGGTTTTACTGACTATTGGTAGAAACTGAACATGTGAAAATAACGGGAACGTTTGGTATTGTCTCTATTATTTGCTAACCTGTGTTACAGTTTTAAGAGTAACATAAGACAAGGGTTGTAAACTGCGGGAGGCTGGATGACCATCTGGTTCTCAGTCTTAGGGCACTACCTAGGTGTGATCATAATGTCTCAGGTTCGGTTCTGAACTTACAAAGCTGGAGGATTCAGTATTGTTAGTATGTTGGAGATAGTGGAGCTCTGAGGATAGATCCATAACAACACTCACAAGAGACCAATACATAAACTGGGACACCAGTTCATCCATTTATGATAAGTATAATTATTATCAACTATACTTCAATGAAAAGAGTTTTAAAAAAGAAAAAGAAAAGTATAATTATTAAGCTGGCCAAATACTTTGTTTATGAACGGCTTTTTTCATCCTGAAGAAAAATATATGTGGAGAGCTGTATTATAATTAGAATGGATTTTGGTGAGTAGGAAATCAGGAGGCTCTGTTGGAGGATCTTAATTACTATGTCATTGCTACCTCTTTCTCTGCCACTGGGATAGACCTGCTGTGAACTGATGTTCTTGCCTTTGGGCAGGACTGGGAGCATGTGACACTGATGTTTTAGCCTGAAAATGTTTAAGGGCCTGTATTTTTGTATTCTAAACTCATAATTCATAGATTCACCGTAATCCGTGCACTTCCTGTTGGCACATCCAGTATAGTTGCTTAGGTTTTGAGTTTTCTTACTTCAAATCACATTCCAATTAAGCTTGTCTCTGTGAGATTACACTTGGGTCATCTGAGTAGAATGTTGGATAATTTCTACAGGTGGCTCATTGTGAACATAGTTCTTTATAATTTGTTGTTCCAGATTTTATTCTCAGAGTAAAAATCCGTATGTATTCAAGGGTATCTGATACTCGGGTGTTGGTTATATTGTGTGTATTTTCAGGAATTTGAATATTTATCAAAACAAAATAGAAACAGTGCGAATGTGAGGAAGATTTCTTAGACAACTGCGTAATAGAGCCTTGTTCTGTTTGAAACACGTGTAGGTCATAATATTTGCTTTCAAGTAGGGAAAAGGACAACTTAAAACAATTAAACAAATTAAAACTATATGGTATAGGGTATATATGTTGTCATTCATGAGAATTGTGTAGTTAAGATGCTAGAAGTGGGAGAGACATCACTTAGAGTAGATAGTTAAGTATTGGAAAACTTTCTCGGTAAGGGAGCATTTAGAATGAGCTTTGGGAAATATGGGATGAATGACAAAATTTGAGAAATAAGGGATAGGACTTAGCCTAGTTAGATCTATCCTTGTCTATATAGCGAGTGCGTATTTTTTTTAATTTTTTTACTTTTAGAACAACATGTGTTATATATATATATATATATTTTTTTAATTTTCTTTTTGCAGTGCGCGGGCCTCTCACTGCTGTGGCCTCTCCCGTTGCGGAGCACAGGCTCCGGACGCACAGGCTCAGTGGCCATGGCTCACGGGCCCAGCCGCTCCGTGGCATGTGGGATCCTCCCGGACCGGGGCACGAACCCGTGTCCCCTGCATGGGCAGGTGGACTCTCAACCACTGCGCCACCAGGGAAGCCCCTGTAATATCTTTTAATTTTGTTTTGTTAGGAGGGAAGTGAAGGACAGGTGTTGGTTCTTGGGGCCACAAATCGTCCCCATGCTTTGGATGCTGCACTCCGAAGACCTGGACGGTTTGATAAAGAAATTGAGATTGGAGTTCCGAATGCACAAGACCGGCTAGATATCCTCCAGAAACTGCTTCGAAGGGTGCCCCATTTGCTCACTGAAGCTGAACTGCTACAGCTGGCAAATAATGCTCATGGATATGTTGGAGCAGACTTGAAAGCCTTGTGTAATGAAGCAGGTGAGAGTGATTTGCTGTAGTGACTCTGTACTGATGGATTTAATAACTGGTTTATTTACAAACTGATAATTTATATCTCACTTATTTCCTAATGGAAATAGCTAAATTTTTTCTAATCATAAAATATATATGTTTTATGAAAAAAATCTGGATGATTCAGAAAACTATAAAAATGAAATAAGAATCACTCTTAATCCCTCTTCCTAAAAATAAAAATATACACATAAAACTATACACTTAAAAAAAGGATGTACTTGGCATATACAAGCAGTAAATAAATATTAACTGCTGTTAATATGACTTAATAATTTCAGATTTTCAGGTATTTAACTGATCTTCTGTTTCCCCTAATCTAGCAATGAATCAGATTTTGAGAAGGTAAGTTTTAAAAAGATTAGTCTTAAAATTAAAGTGTCCAGTAGGGAAAATATGTAGTTTTGTGTATACTGTCTTAAATACTAGTGTATGTTGTGTTATGCAGTGGTGTTCTCTAACTTTATATAGCAGAATAAAGCTTAAGAACAGTGTGCTAGAATTTTTGCAAGAGATTTTTCTAAAGAGGCAGGGGTGTATAGTAGAAAATGGATTTTGAGTAGAAAATACCTTTAAAATCAGTCTTGGGGTCTTGGGCAAGTTCTTTGCCTTATCTGAGCCTTAGTTTTTTCCATTTGTAAATTGAGGGGGTTGTGGTAGATGATACTTAAGTGCCTTTGTACATATGACATTCCTTGGATATAAGGGAGAAGAAGAAATAAATGGAAAAAAAGAAGGGACGAAAGGAAGGGGGGCAGGGAAGAAGGATAGGATGAACTAGAACATAACAAGGAAGTACCCAAGTTAGGCACTAAACCTGGCCCGGCCTCATTAGCTACTTTCATACACCTGGCTTTTCCACTCTTCATTGTCTTCTCTTTTGTGCCTGTTTGTCTGAATGATTTAAACTTAGGTTGTTAGGGCTTTCTCCCACAGTGTTCTTAGAAATAATGCTACAAAGCAGACTAATGCTTATTGTGAAGTTAACTGCATTTTCTCATTGAAACAGTCTGACTCAGGACTTGATTAACTTATACATTTGGTTAATAGTGTGACTCAGAAGGAAAGATAAAACAACTCAAACTCTATAAGCATTAAAAATAGTAGAATTTTGCTCCAAATGCTATAGAATGGGCATATCTCACTTACTGAATATACAAGGGCACCCCTAATGTGTGCATTGAGCATAGGAAGAAAAAACTCAGCTATACAGTAAATTTGAACTACGTATTCTCCTAGTTCTAGGTAAAAAGAATCGAACATTTAATGTTGCCTTCTAACTAAATTCAAATTTAGAGGAGTTATTAGGGGAAAAGTTGAATGGCTCTTAGTCTTTTAAAATGACTGCCTAGGGAAGTTTGAACTGCTGTGCCCCCCCCCTTTTTTCTTTAACATAGTAAGTGTCCTTGGACAAGTAGAAGCAGTCACAATTATTACACTGACCTTAGAATTACACACAAAGTTAGAATCATATTTTTTACAAAAAGAGTCATGGTAAAATTTTAATATTTAGAAGCAGTATGCTCAGTACGTTTTTGAGAAATGTATGTGAAAACTGGGAGACATAATGAGATGTAATTACCACTCCACTCCTCTTGGTAGAGTAATAAAAATATTTATTCACTTCAGAGTTGAGTTTAGTTTTGTCTTTAAACCTCTGTTGAGCTTCATCTCCTCCTGTCCTTTCTTGCCTTTAGAAATCCCTGCTCTGTGCTAAGGAAACAACTCCAAGTGGTTATTGCTACCTTTATAGGTAGCAGTAGACAAGGTAGTGTTCTGTGGTGCCTTAAATAACTACTGCTATTTTTTTGAACATTTCCAGTCAATTTTTGTCTTCCCACTGACAAGATTTCTCAGCTATGGCTCTGACTGTGGACTTTAAATACATCTTGCTTAAAACCAGTGCTTTTTAGGAGTCATTTTCATTGTTCAACAGTTGTGCTGTGTATAAGTGGACAGCTTGAGAATTCCCACTGGCTTATCTGGGAAATAAGGCACCTTGACCTCCAAATTTGTGAGGAAAGTGAGAGACTCCAGCTCCAAGAGATGTATTCCTGAGTACACAATTTAATTCTGTCTCTTATTTATTCTTTTCTGCAGAATTCAAATTCATTTCACATGTTCTCGATTCCAGACAGATCACTTGGAGTTGAGGTTCTCAGACTTTATTGTGCATCAGAATCACCTGAAGAACTTAGTAAACTATAGATGGCTGGCTGTGCCCTATTCCCAGAGTTTCTGATTCAGTAGGTCTGGGCTGGTACCTGTGAATTCCTAATATGTTCCCAGCTGATGCTGATGCTGCTGGTGTGGGGACCACACTTTGAGAGCCACTGACATAGGTCACTGGTTCTTTTTTTTTTTAAAGGTAGGAACCCCTGTTTTTGTTTTTTAATTTTTTAAATATTTATTTTTGGCTGTGTTGGGTCTTAGTTGAATCACACAGGATCTTCCTTGTGGTGCACGGGCTCTACAGCACCTGGGCTCTGGCGATTCTTAACCACTGGACCACCAGGGAATTCCCAGGTCATTTGTTCTTAAAACCTCATTATGCCTCAGGTTCACCTGGGAAGCCATGCACACTCCCATGCAGGTGCACGCACACACTCTCTCTCTCTCTCTCTCTCTCTCTCTCTCACTTTCCATACTTAATTGAATAAAGAAGGTGGGGAACTAGAATCAGTATTTATAATGTTTTCCAAGTGATTTGAAGTAGCCAGTCTTGTACTTCCCTATGAACAGGAAATGTATCATTAATTTAGGCCAGTGGTTCTCCTGTGTTAAACCTGTATAAGAATCACTTGTAGAGCTTGTTAAAACACAATTCTGGGCTGCATGCTACTGGTTTAGTAGGTCCAGCTGGGGTACAAGAATTTGCATTTCTGTCAAGTTACAGGTGATAATCAGTGCTGCTGGTCCAAGGGCTACACTTTGAGAACCACTGATCTAGGCCAGCCAGCTCTCCGATTTTTGGAGATTTTCTGTAACTGATTTAAATAACTGCATTAAGTTTAGGTAATGTAATTCTGACTCTCTCACTGATAGTGTTGAGTTTCTTCCTAGAGTTTTTATGTGATAGTAATATTATAACTATTCTAAACTACTGTATCATTTTAGTCTCTGTAGGAGAAAATGAGTGTCCAAGTTTGTCTTGCAGGTATATATAATGGTTCTGAATAAAACTTTAAAATGAAAAATAACTCTGAAAGATAGAAAGCCACAATTAAGGAAATAGTTAAGGATTAACACTTAAGAATACAAGTAAGAATGTAGGCATATGTTTTTCTTAGAACACTTGCTTGCTTATGATTCGTGGACATGTATGTTCTTTGAGCTTTTGGTGTGTTGGCTGTCTGTTGGTTTTCCTTTTTCCTGGACTGGCTTCTAGTTGGGGAGGCTCTGCCATTTTTAATAAAATGGTGCACAGGTGTCTAGTAATTACATACATTGAAGTGATTCAGAATTTCATAAAACCTAAATGAGCTATGTTACTGATTGTTTTGTTAATCTTAAGGTTATTGTTTGTGGGTTATTAATACAGAAGATCAAAATCGTTGTAGTATATATGTTTGTGCATGCTTTTCCAGAGGACCAAAGGTTTGCAATCTATTCCAGAGACTGTAAGGGTGATGCTGTGTCTTTTGCAATGTGATTGCTCTCAACTTTTCTAATCTTTTATTCTAGTGTTACTGAATATTTTCCGTATTTTTAAACTTTGTCTCCATAACAAATAAAAAAGTTGGAAATACTACTGTAGTATTGCTTTCAACAATTGGATCTCTTATTATCTGAGCAGATATAATGTTTAATGCTGAGGGTTGGGTGTGAAACTGATTTTCAAATGTTATGTTTTCTTTATAATTAATTTTTGAGCTAGAGTGTGGTTTGATAAGTCGTGACTTGTCCAAAAGCCTAATGTTTTGTAGCTCACCTTTTTAAGCAAAGAGCAGCTGCATTTTGAAATGTTTTATCTCAAGCAGACAAGCTGTTTATAAGCTCAGCTCTGACACATCCTGACATTTAATGTCTATGTTTTTATCCCTCCTGGGATTAGGCTGCCTTTCTAATTAATTAGTTGCATAGCCTTTTATTAATTCCCTCAAAATTTATAATGTTTTAAATTAACAACATAGATAAGCATACCACACTTTTTTAGAAAACATGAAATGTTAATTATGCAGTGGAGACATGAGTTATATAAACTCTGCTGAATGTTAGAAGATGCTTAGCAACATTGTTTTCCAAATGCAGGGATTTATTATAAACTTATCCTTCTAAGGCTGCCTGTGCCATTTCAGGAGAGTGAATATAAATAGAGCTTGATTTCTTCAAGAAGAGGACTCGATCATTTTGTTAACAGTGGAACGAAGCATTTGCTTCACATCTCTAAGAATTTATCTTTAGCATCCTTGTTGATTACACATCATTTCAACATGTTCATACCAAATGCTTGGGCCTTGATAAGATACCATCACAGAACAGGAAGAATTAAAACTCTTATTTAAACAATGATTTTGTCATTATTACACTTACGTAGGTCTAGTAAAAATACTGAATCTAATTATTATAACATAACTTCTTGTGAAATGGAAAATGTTATCTGTCTTGCAGCAGGGTTCTCAGATATTTATAGCTGTTAGTCCTCCCTCCCACCCTTCACTAGCTTATATGAATAGGAATTTATGGAGGATCTCCTATGTACAGTCCAGTTCTTAAGAACGGTTCTTTTTCTAACATTTTCCACCATTTTTGAATTCTGCCAATGTTATTTTCTAAGTTAGAATTAAAATGTTGATTCTTTAAAAATTCAATATTTTTAAATAAGCTGCAGGGAAATAGTAGGGTTTTGTGGAAAGCTTATGGTGAGCTCTAGTTTCAAATGCTAGCACTACCCCTTATCAGCTGGGAGTCACTGGGCAAGCCATTTAACCTCTTGAACTCTTTCCTCATCTGCTAAATAGGGATAA